GCCAGGGGCTTGGATGTTTGACGATTTCCATACACTGACATCTATGTTACTAATTATGCATCGTATTTGGCTATTAGTCTTGGATTCGTGTTGAAAGTTAACATAATTATTAGTAATCACATCCTGTCATACCTGGATCCTCCTCTGGGCGGAGAAAAGTGCCGGACCTCAATCCGGCAAAATTTTCCGCTGGATTCCGAAAAAACGCCGGAGACGTGAAAAAACATCCGGATCCAAGATTCTGAAAAACAGAGATGATAAAAGGTTGGATCATACACAAGGAAACTGCCTTTGCGCCACGAATAGCTTTTCTGAAGCACACTCATTCCACAGCCCAGCGCTGGAGCCTTCCCGTTCCCATTGCCCTCGCCATTCTTCCGAATGGCCTAAGAGCAGAACCATCACAAAGTGTAAGCAACTCTTGCCCAAGCAAAGACTTCCAAGAAGAAACCAAGGAGTATGTGGCAAGGAACCCCTCTTTCTCTGCAACCATGTCTCTAAAGTTTTTTGTTACAAAGTGGGTTGTTCTCAATGTTTCTTTAAAGCTTGCCTCAGGACGGCCCCCCCAAGAAAGTAGCAGAACTCATGGTTCCTGTCAAAACTCTTATTTGAAAACACATTTCAAAATCAATACCTGCAGACGACTCAGTCCAAAAAATTACGCCGGAGTTACGGGAAATTACGCCGGAGTTACGACGCGCCATTCTTTGGCAATTCTCCGCAAAACATTGAGATTCTGAACAACACATGTTCCAAAGCCCAAAACTTGTCCGGCAGGCTCTGCAAACCTGCGCAGCTAGAACTATATCCCAGCGCCCCGACATCCTGAAACAATGGGAGTACGTTTTTGCCTATGTTCTTTCAGCTTAGGTACGCCCACTTGGGTCTTTCAACACGTGCGTCGCACTGTACCGGCTTCATCCGGATTCATTTAGAAGATCACCTAAACGGATCTGATTGATCCAGTGTGAACCATGCTGAAACCGGTGGAATGAGAAAACAGCGGAACAAGCAAACGAGCACACTTTGCAAACAACATCATTGCATCAGTAGTGGGTTTACCTTCAAAAAAATGCAGACCACAAAGAATGCAAAGCCTTGAGAATCCACACATAAAGTGACTTGGAAAAGTGCCGGACCAAATCCAGAAAAACGCCGGAGTTGGAAGTCCGGCACCGGACCCTGTAAAAGTACCGGACTGAAGATCTAGGTATATCATTCTCTGGCTGGCCCATCAACTTTAAGGCCACTGGCTGTTTCGAAAGACTGACTCGTCAGTCAGCTCTCAGCTTGGCCTACTTGCTTGAAACGCACCTGTGCGTCGCAAGTTGAGGCTGAAGCACAGAGAGAGGGAAGAGTAGAAGTCAGCATGGAGGACTTTCTCCTCCGAGGTCAGGGCGCTTCTTTTCAAGATCTTTGCGGCGACGACTTTGCTGAAGCAGATACTCCAGGAGAAGGTCGAAAATGAGGGTGGCGCTCATGATCTCAAAGTGGCAATAAGATGAACAATAAGAAAGAACAGACGGAAGTGGTTGAGGAGAGCAATGAGGCTATTAAGGATGAGGCTGAGGCCGGCTTGGACACACCAGATCTGCCGGATCACTGCGCAGCCGAATCCGAGAACAAGCAAGCAGCTGATGCGCCTGGGTTTTCCAGCCCCTGAAGAACCTCCATTGTCCAAGCGAGCATTGCGCAAGGCCATGTTTGGCTTCAACCGCAGAAGCGGCGGAAAGACACACAGGAAGCCGGTAAAAACAACTGAGCCGTATACTTGATCTGAGTGGAGAAAGGGTGCAAGTAAAGACCTGAACTTTGGATTAGCGGAGGACTGAAAGTTAGGGTGAAGGACAAGAAGTCGGTTCCCAGGGGCACCTGCTTGCTTTCTGTGAAGCAGCTGCATTTGGAGGCCGGTAAGACGCACACCTTGCCCAAATGAGATGCGCCGAGGCTGTACATGAGCGTTTTGTCATTTGTGGAGCTCTAGAGGTGGCTGCCGCCGGAAAGTTGGGCAGCTTTTCGCCTCTTGCGGCGAGTGTGAGAAAATGTATGAGGCCAGCTGAATCAGAGTTCCAACCTGTCATGAGCCCCTTCTGAGGTTAAGAAGCTCTTGCGCAAAAGGCCACGATTCCCAGGCCGGTTCCGGACTTCTGAGAGCACTGATGTGCCCTACAGGAAAGGAGGCAATGGTCTCTTCTGCATCGTGGCTTCTGGTAGGGGTTCTTTGCGAGATGGCCTGGAAACAGTGTTTCGGCTCTACAAAACCAGGATCCCAGGCCACCTTGAATGTAGAGACATCTTTTCACTTTCCTGGCCAGGTTATTTTTTGCGAGGTGGCCTGGAAGTAGTGTTTCAGGTCTACGGAACCATGAAGTGTGCAGACATGTAGAGACATCTCTCCTGCATCCTGACTTTCTTCCCTGTAGGGATTCTTTGCAAGGTGGCCTGGAGACAATGTCTCGGGCGTACAAAACCAGGATCTCAGGCCACCTCCCATAGTAGAAATGTAAATGCATATGAGTTGTGCGTTTCCAATTAATTGCAACAGTCATTTAAAGGGTCGACTGTTTAATTCTATCTTTAAAAGTAGCACCATGCAATCACCATTCTGTTGCAAAGGTGTTCTATTTCTTAAATAGGGAGGCCGTCCACTGCAGACATTTGAAAGTAGGTTTGCACGGGGCAAAATTTGCCCGCTTGCTCGTGCGACTTTTCGTGCTATTCTTCGTGCCGATTTGTGTACCTGCTCGTGCAACTTGTCGTGCCCTTTTTTCGCACAAAATTGTGCACCTGTTCGTGCAACTTTTCGTGCTTTTTGTTCGCGCCAAATTGTGCACCTGCTCGTGCAACTTTTCGTGCTATTTTGCGCGCTTCCTCGTGCAACTCTTTGTGCTATTCTTCGTGCTCATTCTGGGGTTTGCTGGTGCATCTTTCCTACTGAGTTGGCAGCTTTTGGTGATCTTTGTCCATACTTCCCATTCCAAATTCCACCATCCTCAGACCCTCGCACAGACTGGGAACCATACAAATTTTTGAGGTTCGGCTTCGTGCAACTTTTCGTGCTATTCAGCGTGCTTTTTGCTTATTTGGTGTATTAAAAATCTAAAAGCGCAAAAATAGCACAAAAAATTGCACCCCCGAAACAACGAACGTCAACCAAAGCCTAAACCCTAACCCCTAAAAAAGGCAGCGTTTCCCCCTCCTGGAACAAGCGCAAAAAGTTGCACCCCCAGGTCCACAATTGTTCATCAAAAAATGCACAAAAAGTTGCACCCCAGGTCGATATTTTGTGCAAAGAACACACAAAAAGTTGAGATGGGGCAAGAATCATTGAGGAAGCTCTCAGGCCACCTCCCATGTGGCCTTCATGGTATGACATTTCATGAACTTCTCCAAAGCAAGATCGGATACAACATGCGACCTTGTATGGCGTCCACAAAGCCCCATATTCCAGGCCACCTCATCCAGCCCAAAAGCACAATCTCATTTCCCAGCATACGCTCAGGTCTCTACTTGGAAAGACCTGATCCAGCACGCGCTGCTCGAAAAAGAGACCTGCTGTTGCATACTTGTGGTGATTTTCAGCCGTATCATCTAATGATTCCTGATGATGGCGGCCACTGAGATGTGCCTGCAGGACAGTTTGGCCCCAAACTAGCTTTCAAGTGTTTAGCAGCCTTTCACCCATGGCTGCCGCTGAAACGCTCCAGCAGAAGGTCCAGGATTTGGCTTCGCTGGCTGAGATTCGAGAGCCTTGTCCTCGTGGATGATGCGGATGACAAGATCAAGGACGCACCACACCTTCTGGGGAAGATGTGCATAGATGTGCAGTCTGAAAACAAGCCGGAGCAAGCGGTCAAACGTCTCAGAGGCCTTCTTAACCGAGCGAGCCAGGCAAAAGATGCAGCGCAAAAGGGCGAAGATGTTCCCACACCTGAGTTGCCTGAGCCGGCAGAAGCCCTGTGATACTGTTGCCGCTGAGCAGTGACAGGGCAATGATCCCTGGAGACATTTGTTTGAAAGGAGAAATGATGAGAAATGATTAATGCTCCAATTTCCTTGGGAAGCGCTCTCATCCACCACGACGACGAGGAATTTGTCCACAAAAACGGTTGACAAACAGTTCGCCGCCACGACCTCCTCCTCCGCTTTGTTGTGCCACCAGAAGACCATGCCAGAAAAACAGTCCGTGCTGGGCCGCCGTTTCTCAGAGACCGTCGGCACGAAGCCGCCGTTTCAACACACAGCCGGCAAAAAGCCGCCGTGTTGACCTGTCCCGATGGACCTGCAGGTGCAAGTGGACCAGCCAAATTCGTACGATATTAACTAATGTTTTCTTATATTATAGTCTATATAGTTACTGTATATTGGATTGCACATCCTGTAAAAAGTGCCGTCTGGCAAAACATCCAAGGCTGAACTCCTGACACATTCAAAGAATGCACTCGATTATAAGGTGCATGTCTACTTCTATTGAAAAGGCACGTCAAAGCCACAAAAGTTGAACATATGCATATACCCTTACAGGCGCGGCTACCACAAACATGCACCAAGGCTTCGCCTAAAACAAACAGCGCCAAAGAGTACTAGTACTCATAAGAGTCAAGGTGTTTTCTGTTCAAACACATTGAGTTCTCCTTCCCCTGCGCCAACGCACTCCATCGCCGGGAATCGTCCACGCACTCCACTTCACCCGTCCCACCCGTCCTCGCCGGAGACCACCTGCTTGACCCGGCTGATCACCACGCCCGAGGGGTTCCGCACGCCGGTCATCGAACCCAACTCCCTGACCACTGCCTGGCGCTGTGGCAGGCTCAGGCGTCGTAGCACCTGCTCAGGCGTCGTGCAGCGATCGGGTGCAGCACAACGACGTCTCACTCTCAGCCCTAGGGCTCCAGTCGTACCTGCGGTTCCAAGGTGTCAGTTGGGGTGCCAAGGGCTCCATGGGGCAGGGCTATGGCAGTCCCTTGGAGTGAGTGTATACGGCATGGAAGGTAGAACCGCACCAAAGTCGAGTTCATGGAGGAGTAGCCCTGAACATATGAAGTTGTTGGAGGCCTTCTCTTGACTGAAATATCATCTGGTCCCAGTATCAGCTCTAAAGGTTCAACAAGAGGTGTCTATATATATATATAGCTTCCGTCTGAAACCATCGTCTCCAAGGGCCTGAGGACGCGTCTCCACATGCAACATCCTGCAATGGTCCTGCAACGTCCTCATCCAACCTTCCAACTTCCAACCACCCAGCTTCACCCCGGAGCCCACACTCATCACGGCTGTGGGTCATGGCATCACCCAATGAACCCTTGTAGGTTGACCATCTCTCATATCTCTCCCAGTCTAGTCTTTGGTTCCTTTTCAGTGATTTAAAAAAAAACATAGTATAATGAAAGAACGCCCTCCCCCTCCTCCAAAAATAGCACTCTCTCAAGCAGTCTCGCCCATCTCATCTTGGTATCTCGACCTCGACCGACCAATGTGTGTGTCGTGTCGACCTGACGAGCGTGTCTCAAGTCTCGGGATGTCTCGGGTCTCACCTCGCCACACCAATCCTCAAGGCCCAATTCCTTCATGAGCTTCACCACATCCTCCGGCCACGCACCTGAAACGTTCCGCACCGCCAGACCTGTGCTGTTCCGGTGGGAAGCTCCCGTGCGGGGTAACCCGCTGTGGTTCAGGTCGATACGCCTGAGCCGCCCGGATGGTGTGAGGGATCTGAAGGATGTGGCGAGACAGGTTTGATGGAATTCGGTCTTTTTCTTATTCTCTGCTTGGTATCTCGGTATCTCTTATTTCTTTGATGGATTTGGATTTGCAAATGATGAAACTTCAAATCTTGATTTCACAACGATCTACACGTAGAATGTACAATTTACACACACGCACACTCTCTCTCTCTCTCTCTCTCTTTCTATCTCTATCTCTCTCTCTCTTTTTTTGAGTCTTGCATTGAAGGCGTTTGACCGGACACAGCTGTTCGACAAACATGGACCGCGGCACAGCTGTTGGTCCAGTCGATCAGGAAATCGAGTATACATCTGTCGATCGATCGAAAATATAGAATTTCACCATGGGCTGATTTAAGACCTGAAGAAGTGTTTCATAGCAGGCTTGTTGAAAAGGAACCCTGGAAGTGTTTTAACATGTTTTAACTGTAGTTGGGAAGGGCATGAAACACTTCTTGAGAAATGCACGCATTAGCGCCTGCAGAAGTGTTTTTAACGCGTGGCAACTCCAAATTGTAACCAACATTGGTGCTCACAATTGGTTGAAACACTTCTTTGTGCTCTATTGTTTTGAGCTGGCTTAACGCAGCCATTATGCAATTCCACACTCGGAAAACACATGAACACAAATCAAAGCATCTCAACATCTACAACCAATCCTGCGCACGTCCAATAATCAAAGTCCATCATTTGATGCCGCACATCGCCTCCCAAATCGTGGAACTGTCAGTTGCACCAAACACACTCCGAACGAAACTCTCCGTGACCTACTGGAGAAAACGGACGCGCCGTGTCCCCCTTGAGATACCCCTTCCACTTCGCAAAATCCCATCTCTTCGTTCAGCACTCTTGAAGCCAAGACGTTCAGTTCGAACTGTTCCTTCGGTACTGCACCCAGGTACTGTGCTGACCCAGGTCCCAGGTACTGACCCAGGTGGGCCTTGTTCATCCCCAAACCGTCCCAGGTCCCGGGGACCCGTACCGGGACCCGCGGTCACTGATGTTCCGCACGGCCTGGTGCGGTGGTGCGGTGGTTTTCCAAGAGTCCCGGTAGTGGCGCGAGCTGTCAGTGTCTGGGACTGGAAGATGGGATCATATGGGGGTGGTTGGGGTTGCTCTACCATGATACCACCTAAACATGATAGAGAAACCCCCCTAAATTTACATACATATGGGGGTGGTTGTGTCAACGGGGGGGGGGGGGAAAAAATTGTGGAGCATCTGGGATGGGCTTCCGGTGCAGGACATACGCACGTTCTGCGGCATTCGCGGGATCGTTCTGTTCAAAGAGCGGATCTTTTGTGGTTGCGCTAGGTGTTTGGTGGTTGCGCTGGTTTGAGTGCTCTAGCCAGTCCATAAGGCCCAAACTCCACGGTATGGATGTGAATGTGAAGAATGACCAGGTACCAAACTCCAAGATCCCACCAAGACCCCACGACGAGGACAGGGTGAATGGAACGGACACGAATGGGCACCAGTCCTGGCCTCTTTATTACGGTATAATCCGAGTGAGGGGAACGAAATGAGTTCAGAGTGACCGTTCTTAATAGACCGTTCTTCATATATGGTGAAGTTAAAACGGTATAATAAGCAATTGAACTTCACCATCTCTCCCAACCATGATCAACGTCCAATAGACCGACATCCACCGTTTGACACGAAAGTTCGCCAAAAGTGAGGGAGAAAAAACCAAGGGCTGCACACCTCATATTTCAGTAGCTGCACTTGGCAACCTTAAGAATCCATGAGGCCATGGACTCGACACTTTTGCAGGGGGAAAAAGGACCCGAAGCAAACCCTTCTCATAGGTTTGAACCCGGGTTCTTAGGGTGGCTCCAAGGTCGTGGCTTCCTTGAAGAACATGCTCCAAAGAAACCAAACATACCTAGGGCTCCAAGTACCTTCTGAGAAGGTGTTTGGGGTGGGCTTAGTAGGTCCAAATACCCTCTGAGGAGGTACTTGGAGCCCTAGGCATACATACTCCAACCAACTCCGAGGACTGTGAACTGAATCATCCGTGGTGCCTACCAAAGCTCCAAATATAGACAGCCTTGGGTATATCCCCTTGCCAGTAGCAGTGATGATGATGGTTACATATGGTTAGTAAACGTTAGTAAGAAACCGTTCCCAAACCTTAGCCATAATCTTTGACCGACTCTTACTGGTTTATTGGGGCATAATTACCCTGAAAAAAAAGATCCTCTCAGCGAAGCTACGCACATCACTGGCTGGTGCAATGAAAAAACAGGCTGACGACCCATCACCAACAACCCATCGTCCAAGGGTGCAACCCTTACAGGGTATGTCAGAGTCAGGCCCCCCCACCCACAAAGGCTCAATGGAACAAGGAGCACTCGTCAAACTCCAACAAGCATGATAGTGGACTGAAAGTGGACAAGTGGACTCTAGGTCCTAGGTTCTGGGAAGACTCTTTCACCCCACCAACAGTGGGAGGTCCACCAAACCATCTATCTTACAAAAATGGTCTACCGTTATCCGTAAAAAAAGGAACACACGTCACATCTCCGTTTGCTACAGGACAATGGCCTTATCCCAAAAGCATTCGCCGAACCAAGCGCGGTTAAGCACGGTCACCGCGCCCTGCCCGCGCGCTGCCTCGCTGATCCGGCTCATGGCCACGCCCGAAGGGTTGGACGCACGCCTCGGTGTCTGCACTTCTGATGGTTTCTATTTCCAAAATGATCCCAATGGTGGTGCAATTGCAATGCCAAATGGCCTACATGACCTGGTGGCTCTTTGTTTTGGGGGTGTGGTCTCTACGTCTTCCGTGGAGAGCGCTCCCGGCGGACCCCGGAGCTTCGGATGATGAAGACCGAAGACCGAGGTACAGAGGCCACCAGCCTCCCCAGACACGACTCAAGGGACTGGTAATATATACCGAGAAACGGCCAGGGGTGGTGCCAGGGAGGTCTGGCTTGATTTGCATCTATTCCAGTCCCATGGAGTGTATGGCATACCAAGTGTCCAGTGTTTTCCATGTTCGTCGGAGTGTGGTCAGTTTGAGTTCAATGACACGAGCTTGGTAAAGTAATTAGGCCTGCGACTACGAACTTTGGGCCCATATATATATATATACGATTGATTTACTTGTGTGCCTCAAAAAAGAGGGTCTTGATATGGGAAGGCCCTTGAAAAGCCCCATGATGAAACTCAATCTAGCACAACCAAAATCACATCCGAACGAGAACCACATGTCTCGTGGCACCTCGCTTTCAGGTGCTTAAATTCACATCTTGGCGCCACCACCTGCGCAGATTCAGTCGAACGGCCAGGCACCTCAGGGGTTGGTGTTGATGGTCAGTATACCCGGTATAGGTATCTCCACTCCAAATCATTGCTCTTGGATGGGAGATGTCCCACAAAATGCATCAAGAGTTCCAAGTAGAACAGCCAACCCTAGGCCCTAAGCTCGAACCTTAATTACCATCCTTTGAAGCTCGCACCTGTCCTGTCCCTACTTGATGTTTCACCTACCCCCCATGTCACCCAGCTTTCAACGGACCGGACTCTTCGACGCTCAGGGCACTGGATCTTCATCCCGGACTCCATCACTGCCTGGAGAGGGCGCATCACACGAGTGACACGACCAATGCGACTGGCATATGGACCTACATGGTGGGTGGTGGACAAGTGGTCAAAATGGGCATATATGATCATATATGTATAATATATACACCTCGAAACCTAGCACCTGAGTGAGCTCTCTTTTGGATCACCAACCACCCAAAGTATGGCTTTTGTATGTTTTCGTCCTATCCAAACAGGGGTCAAAGGGGCACTGTATATCCCATACTAGTATCACTCCATGGGAAGTTTTGGGAAGAAACATGGTGCATTTATAACAAATGACCAATTTCCATGGGTGGCATCAGGTTGGCGGAATTCAGCGGCCCTCAAGGTGCAGAATTCCATTTTTTGGTGCTGGCCAAGAGGGCTGCGGAGGCAAATGTGTCACATTCCCCACCCGCAAACTAACATGGAACCTCTCTATAACCATGACTAGTTCCATGTAATTGTATAAACTCGAGGGTAGAATGATATGTGGATCTTCCGAGGATGCACGAAGGTTCTCACCTCCCTCATTTATCAACAAAACCAGCCAAGAGGCAAATTTATGCACAATTCATCGGGGCATGACCTATAATCAACAACTTGTAACAAATAGGAGCATCTGAACTTTTGACCATAATTCTATTGGCATGGGACTGGGTCTGCCAACTGCACTGGTGGCAATATACGGTCCTGGACCCTGCTGGGTCGATGATGGATTTCAGGGAGTGAAGGTCCCACCATGTTCCGCCCAAACCCCTCAACGCGGCGGGGGAGTCGAGCACCGGTCTCACCTCGCATTGCTCTTCGGTCAAGCCGGACATACGATCCAGGACGCCCTCGGCCAAATCGTTCACCTGCGCCGTGTCTCGCTGCACAGAAACATGGCGTGGAGGTGGAGGTGGGGAATGATGATGAGAGAGGGATCAGAAAACCCGCCAGGCGGGAGGACAGTGGTTCTTGACGGAAGGGAAGGGGAGAATCATGAGGATATCACGAGGGTATCTAGTGTACCTATTCAGTGTTGGCTGGAGTGCACTGAGTAGTTTTGAGACTTTTGCCCAGATCCTGCTTTTGCCCAGAAGAATGGCGTCCAAAGCGCCGGAGGCCAAGGCAGGAAGATGGCCAGGAAGAGGCAGGTCTGCAGGTCAGCCCCCTTCATCTCACTGGTCACGTCAACAGACGTCGACCTGAAATTCTTGGATGATCCTATCATATTACAGAATAATATAAGAAGTCCTATTAGACCCTTTGGGGCAACACCGATGCAAAGAAATTTCCTGGTCGGATCACATAAAACGATTATAAAAGAAATACTATGAGAGTCAGTGAGTGTATAATGCCCACACACTCCATAGAAACTGGCATATTGACCTACATTGACCCCCGACTTCAACCACCACCCCGACTGGTATGGATTCATATAGATTCATATACCGGCCCCATGGCACCACCCCGGGCCGGTCTGGGATTCGGTCCCAAACAGCTCGTGTCGATGTGCCTTGACGAAGATCCGCACGCGCTCCTCGACCGAGACGGCGCTCCGCACCTGGAGAGCGGACGACCGTACCGAACTGGGAGAGTCTGGTACTTCCCCCCCCAAGGAGACAGACTGGAAACATGGGTTGATATTCACCCAAATGCGACTATAATGGGACTGGTAAACATGCTACCGAGAAACGGCCAGGGGTGGTGCCAGGGGGGGGTCTTTTTTGCTTGGCATCTATTCCAGTCCCTTGAAGCTGAGCACCATTCACCAGGGCACGCGGCTCATCACCACGCCGTTGACGTTCCGCGCGCGCTCCACGTTCAGCGGCTTCAGGACCAAAGAGCGCTGAGAGGGCGTGAGCATCATGAGGGCCTGTAGCCAGACCATCCATGATTCATGTATGGCCTCAAGTGATCCGCGAATATCCGCGATAGTGGCACTGTTTCTAATACATGTTGAGTGAGATTTTACTTTTCTATCACTATCTATTTGGGGATTCTGTATGTTATATTGTATTATATTAGCATATATAATAAACACATATTGAACCTATGGGGATCATTGGGGGTGGTTGAAAAGGGGTCAATGTAGGCTTTCCATACAAGCATGGTCTGGGGCATAGGCTGGGTGTGTGCCAGAATGCCAGCACTCGTCTACTCGTTCAGAAGGGTTGGGCAATCGAACGAGGCCTGAGACCTGACCTGTTTTCTGTCAGGTGGCCAAAGATGACTCTGATGGCCCAAAGATGGCCAATGTCCGTGAATTTGGGAGGGAAATACTATATAGGATGCGATGCTGACCGGAAGGCCTACATGTTGGCGGGCCGTGAAGAATTCGGCTTTGAGATCCCCAAATCCTTTGCATGCGAAACAGGGACTCCTGACAAGCATCTTACACAAATCACCCCAACCCTGCGATGATGGGTTTTTCTACATTCGATGGTCGCCCAATCAGTTGACCTCGGGCTTTGTTACTTTGGTGGTATCACACCCACAGACACGGAGCTTTTGCATCATGGCCGAACGTCTTAGATGTCCATGTTATGTTGGACCCTAAACATGAGCCTGAGGGCTCCAAGGACGTCCTCAGAAGGCATTTGGACACTGGCACCCACCCCAAACACCTTCTCAGCAGGTACGACTGGAGCCCAAACGGGGAACATGCCTTGGACACGACACCCCGCCACGAGGTCCACAAAAAAAGCGAGGTCTACACTGGTCTACACGAAAGAACGCGCTCTTTCTGGCTCAACTTCCTCACCAAAATCATCATGTCCACAGAATGCCGATTAATACATTATTTGCACCCCCCCAACATATGATGAACTTCCGGCTCCACCCATGAGCTTCCGGGCCTCGCTTATTTAAAAAAAACTGGACAACTGCACTGCACTGCGGAAGGGCATCTCCGGCGGGAACAATAACAAGCTGCAGCGGGAAAATGACACCGACCAGGCAATCACTGCGGGCGGCGGCCAGTTGCTAATTCACTGACTCTGCGCGATTCGGCTTCCACGGACCGGTCGAGAACGAACCGGTGGAAGCCGAGGATCCTCCGAGACCCAATCGTCCAGGCCGTTGCTGCTCACGAAGTCCTGCACCGCGACCTCATCAACCTCCGCCACGGGAGGACCTAAGGTGGAAGATGGTCCGAAGACCGAATGCGCGGATTGGTCCCAAAAGGATGCAAATGTGGCCACAAACCAACAATGAGATCTGTACACTGTATGAGTCCTCTGTTTCGTGCCTCTCTCTCTCTCTGCCTCTATGTCTATGTCTCTCTATAAGATCTACTGTATCGTACATTTGTCATAAGGATTGACTTGCGCATTCTCATCTTCCCGGTCTGATCAACACTCCCATGACTCTCTCATGGCACCCGTGGGACACAGCTGCCAAAACACTCGGGCTCCTCGAGGATCTGCTGCTGCCACTGCTGCTGCGCGCTTTCAAGGAGAGCTTCCCCTTGGCAATGGCCAAAAGCTTGTCCTCGGCCGGAGTAAGAACATGTAAGTGCAAGAACTGTGAAGGATGGCTTTGGGAGAGTGACCTCGTACTGGATGGCTTTGATGAAATTGCCTCAAATTGCAACCCAATTTGGGAGCGTCATGGTGGCGCAATCCGCCAGAAACGGCCTTCTTCCCCAGTCCAATCTTGGGGCCAGTGCATGGAGTCCGGGTCTTGAGGCCCTTGAGTTGTGAAGGACACGGCCCACGGCTGACTGGTGCTTAGTAAGGAAAAGGGGAATGGATCCTGAGGTATCTACAGGGCTGGTTCATTCCTTGATTCCTGACGGGCCTCCTAAGCACGAGCCGGACGAAAGCTCGTGCCAAATAGGACAAATACACATTGCACGTGAACAAGCTTTGTGTTGCTAGCCTCCCCATTGACACCCCCCAAAAGCTTGATAAAGGCAATATGAAATCTCACCTCCCACACCAAGTGCCAGAGTGCCAGAAAACTTACCCCTCAAACCATCATGAAAAAACACACGGTTCAGTCTGTGCATGTGTGATGTGGATCTTTTATTGGGTGATGTTGGGCGAGATGCTCCATCCTCATCTGTCCTCTTTCGCTCCACCTCATCCATCACCTTCATCCATCACCTCATCCCTCGTCCCCAACCTCCCATACACCCATCCACCCACCAATTCTCCCAAGGCGTCGCTCAAACTGGACCCCGACAGATGCGCCGCGCTCCGGCTGGGACCGTCGGGCACCACGTCGGGGTGACCGGCGTCCTCCAGCGCTTGGGCCAGTTGCTCTAGACCATCGATAGCGCCTTGGAGGTCAACCTGAGCGGAGGAGATCCGGTGGGTTCAGGCGAAGCAGATCAAATATGTTGTGACATGTTGTGACTATAGAGATTAGGGATTTACTTGGATGATTGGACATTTGGAGGTCATGTTGTTTTTCGGGGCAAGTTTGATCAAAATCCTCAAGATTGATCAAGCTTGCACTTCGGAGAGCAGGTTTTTCATATCTGCAGCATTGTGACTGACTGGGAGTCAAACACACACACGCACTCATGTTCCAAGTCTTTTCTGAAAAGTTCGATGTCGAAACTGAGTTTCAACACAAGATTTCAAGGGGGACAAAATCGCTATGTTCACTGTGTAGATTGGAGGTTCTAAGACTTGCATTTCTTCTCCATGCCACATGAACCAGCAGCACCCCACCACCTCCGCGCCTTCTGCTGTCCATCTGTTTCCAGTCGTCCGCCCAACCGTGCCAAGGCTGTGGACGCTTGCCGCGCGGCGTCCGCCAACACGGACATCCCATGGCGTGGCCGTCCACGCCGCGTGGGTCCCAGGCGGCTGGGGTCACATGAGACACGCTGCGATAGATCGATGGCGACCTGGCGCGACCTGTCTGGGACCAGATCGATGCCGAGAAACGGCCAGGGGTGGTGCCAGGGGGGCCTGGCTGGGGCGGCATATGTTCCAGTCCCATGGTTACATGGAGTGTTTGGGTGTTGTAAATGATCCTCGATTAATGCGACAAATGCCAACTAATTCAGTGCAATGAAATGTAGCGTAAATCTCTTTTGGGGCACCAAGAACCGTTTCTATTCAATTGGTGGGGCATCGTCCATCGTCGGGGTAAGACGGTCTTCGTTTGTGTTCAGAGCAGTGATGAGGTCAATTTGTTATTTCTGCCCGCAAATTGTGGAGTGCTCATAGCACACTATAGAAGGAAACACAAGTCAACGAGGCTTGCAGGCTTCCAACATATACAGCAATGAACAAATCCATACAAATCCCATTGCCTACCAATAATTGTTCTTCTTGTTCAACCTCCTGCAGCCTCTACTTACTTACAGAGTCTAGGTGTTCCGCACGCTTGGCATATCCTGGATAACAACGTGTACCTGTAGCAGGTCTTGAACAATATGCCCCTCCACCAGTCATGTCGCGGAAAGCATATGGGATTGCATGTGTTTTCAATCCATGCAGTCAGTTTGTACATATGTAGATAGCGGATGATAGCGGGATAGCCTGAGCGTGCGCAGTTCATGCGCTGAGCATTCTGATAGCGGCGTGGCACTATGCTTAATAATGCTTAATATATGCACGCGTCTGGTCATCTTCAGAATCCCCAAGATACACTGCTCGCCGCAGATCGCAGCAACGATGCTTTTAAAATCTGACTTAACTATTCATCGAACACAGGGTCATCCAACAACGCGGCTCTGGCGTTTCGATGACCCCCGAGAACGATCCTCCAATCAGAAGCGCGGTCGACTGAAGCGAGAAAGCCCCGATCATTGCAACTGGACGAGTGCAAATAGGAACTCATCACAGCTCATTGTCGGTTTGAAATAATAAGAACCCCATAGCCCATAGCTGTCACTATCTGGCGCACAAAATCCTCTCCACCAGGCACCCAGCCAGTGATCGAAAGGCAGCTCTTTAGGTGCTGTCGTCGTGCGGGAGTCTGTGCTGCTGGTGCCGCGCTTCCGACCGGAGGAAGCTATAGGCTATAGAGCCAAGAGACCCTTTGATCGATCTCGGACCCTGGCTAAGCGCTCTGGCCCTGCTTTGCTTCGAAAAGTGGCCGTGCTTGGCTGGTTTCAGGGTTCAGGCACTGAAGCAGGTGAGATGGGACCCTTGCAGTAGCTTTAACACATCAAGATTCAATCAATTGATCTTTGGCTGGATCGCATCAAATCATAGGGCTTATTTCGATTTCCCAGCCAGCCATTCTAAATAGCTCGCTCGCTCGGCAAACGCGCTCGCTCGGAAGTCTCGATCTCAATGACATCGACGTCGATGAGTCTTCTTAGGTGAATGGCAGGATCCAATTGATCCAAACAGCCTTGGGCAGCACAGCCATTGCTGAGCCCTCCCGCTTCAAGGCCATCAGCAAAACCAACGCCAAGCGCTGACGGCACAGCGGCAGCCTAGCGATCTCATAGCTCGAGGTTGGTGGTATTTGGAGCGCTGTGACTTTGTGGGGTGAAGCAGGGGCCCTGGACCAGCTTCTTCACAGTGACCTTTTGAGGGGTAGTGGCGGCTAGTGACCCTTTGGAGGTTCCTCTCGGGATCTCAACCAGGGAAGAGTTGTTCTGTTGGTCATTTAAGGGGCTAACAACGTGTCAATAAAAACAGGCAGATATTCACACTCCGACTCCGTCGACGGCTTGGAAAAGGGCTTGGCAGGAAAATGCTATGATCCATGATGATCTATGTGTTCTTCAAGCCAGACCTAGGAACCTCAAAATGGTATTAAAAGGTGACATTCAAGGTTCAGAAACCCTTGCTGCAATTGATCTTGCGCACTTCAGGATGTAAATGGTTGCTGGAAGCTAAGCGACCAAGCGAAGCAGCTGTGATGTCGAAAGTGGAGCAGTTGGAAACAATGGTAGAGGAGCCTGAAGAACCAAACAACCACCTCGAAGTAATGCCGGAGTTCCCTGTCTATCACCTAAATCATGGCCTTGGAACCTAGGGGGTTGGCTTTAGACACCTTATCGCCTTCTGCAATCACAAGTGCCAGCTCGGGTCTCCTGCTTGTTGGTGACTCCACTTCCTGAACCATATATGATTAAAACAGCCCCGCTGGAGGCCTAAAGTCTAAAACTCTATAATGAACTACATCATGCACACTTCATCTCACCCTTTCTGTTGATCTCTATTTGGAGCCTCATGGTATGCCGGACCTCCGTACGCTCCATGCCACATGAGTCGGTTCACATCCCGCCGTCTTGTGGACACAGCATGAGTCGGTCGACATTTTGAGTTCCCAAGGGTGTTGGCGGTTTTTGTTTCGTGGGAAATTCCCCAAACAAAAGGATTATGACTATAAGTGACTATAAGGGTCTAAGAGTATGCCTTAAAAGAACAGCCAGGTCAGGGGTGCAAGACTGTACTCCTTGAAGACTGCTGGACTCCTCTCCTTGAAGATCAATTTGGTCGAACACCCGGTGGAGCTCGTGCATTCGATTCCTTCCTTTGGAGTTCTGCGCATAGCTGGATGCTTTTTGAACCCAAATCTCCATTCGGCATATATACCCATCAACCACCCCACTAACCTCACTGTCAACACCCGGTTTTGCGCGTCACGTTATGCTCTCAATTCGGAGCCGTAATCTCTCTCTCCCGGCCTGGGGTGGCTTTGAAAGCTCCACGGGACCTCGTACCTGCGCGTCTGCAGCGGTTTCTCCCTGTCGAAGCCACCTGCAGGAAGCGTCGGTCGCAGCGACGTCGCTGCATCGGTGGGCACCGGAGGTCTCGGAGCTTTCTTTCTCCAGCTGCGGACGGTGATTAGGCTCCAACTACCTCCTGACAAGATGGTTATGGCGGGTGCCAGGCAGGTCTAACCACCAAACCTGATAATATGGTTGGAGCCCTAGGGAATAGCAGAATGATTCGTCGTGTGGAATGGATTCTGGGGTTGGGCAGAGATCTCCTGGGGTTCTTCTACGATTCTAGGGTTCCCTCTTTTGGCATTTCCAATCTCCAATCAGAATTTACTTGTTGGGGTGGCAAGTGCACCAGCTCGAAATTCCCCGTTTGGTTTGAGCGTTGACATGCTGTTCCATTGTGTTCCTGTCTCTTTGACCCCCTTGTTCCCGCCAACCACCGGCAACACATCACATGACCCGGCCGCCCATCGCCGGGCGCCGGTGTCCGTCTGACCCAATCGCCCATGCCTCGCAGCATCTTCAAGCTCTGGCGCCGGTGCTCCAGGTCACCCACCAGAGAGTCGAAGAAGTCGCCTTGGATCCGAGCGGAGTGAGCGGAGCGGAGTGGTCCGCGGAGAGGTCCAACGGACCGCGGAGAGGTCCATGGGGGAGATGTGCGTCCGTCCGGTGAGCGGTTGGAGGCGGAGTGAGTCTGGTGGTGTTCGTCAGGCCGGTGGTGTTCCTTGGCCCCTGAGTGTTCCTCTTTTGGGCGCCAACCAGCGTGGTTGGGGCAGGATGGAGAGAGAGGGTGGCCCAGGGGTGGTGCAAAAAGAGGTTTGAGTTGGATGAAGGAAGACCATTTTGGAGCTCGGTTTTTGGACGACGCAGGTGTCAAGACTGGGTATCAGGTCGGACCTAGGTCCGCCACGTCCCAACTTCGGTCGCAGAAACGCGCGCAGAATGAAGACGAGGCCGGGCTGCAATCACCATAATCAATGGGCAAAACGTGGAAGAGCTGCATGGCCTGCCGAAGAATCAAAAAGCGAACAAACAATACCATGGACCATGACTATTGGCTGGAAACCCACTGAGCCAGAAACAAATGGATGCTTCCCCAAACAGCCATTTCCTATGTAAAGGGTTTCAAATACCATATTGGAACAACCATGTGTTTCTGATTGTTTCTGGTTGTTTGGGTTTCCAGGTGTATAACCTAAAGATTCTCAACTTTTAGCTTCCAAATCGAACACATTGTCAACACATTGTTATGCGTCTGACTGAGGATCAATAACTCATTCGATTGCAATCAACGGATTCAGGACCGGTCACGGCCTTTTGCGATGTTGGGTGCTTGATACCTACCGCTGACACATGATTGGACATCAAAGGATCCCCTCTCTCAAGCACAACACCCCTGAACTATGCAGTAGGAGGTTTTCGGATTTCGTCTCCCAGCCTCTTCGAAGGTCTTGCACTGCATGAAGCGAAACCTCCGAGATCTCCGAAGGCTTCGCGGAAAAATGCTTTGATTGCTACGGACAAGCAGCTCAGCACTAGAAAATATCATGAAACTTATTTTGACCATTGGATAGGGTGCACTCTATGTCGCAGCATGAAGAGGCCACTAACAATAGGACTTGTTCCGGCCTTGGAAACCCAACGCTGTCATTCACTGATAGGCTGAAATGGATAAAGAAAACACAACCCAGCATAGATGTCATTGGCCGGACGCACTAAATGTACCCCAGCTTCTTCAGTTTGCGCCCTTCTTGGAGTCCCTATAGGTGACCTTTTCCAGGCCTTGCTGAGGTACCTCACACCGGATCCAAATCGGTCACCATTGAGATCGAGCCCAGGCCCCAGGCCCGGTCGCCGTTTCCTTCCTCGGATTCCACCGCATGAGTGACACCATGCGCCTCTCCCGTCTGAGGAGGAGAAGTGCCACGTTGTGCAAGCCATCGACCCCTTTGGGGCGAAAGCTGGATGGCTAGGATGGGGCCAGCGATCAAAAACTCGCTGACAGGTCAAGCTTGATCAGTGGAACTTCCGAGCACTTCACTTACTCGGTGATCATACTCTTTCGCCAGCGATCTGCGTTATGAAAGAGGAGGGGCTAATGAGTATATTGACATCACCCTGTCAGAAATAATCTCTTGAAGGAGCCAAATCTATCTTCAAATGTGTTGTCCACCCTCTTGTTCTATGTGGTGGCATGCTGATCGTGGTTCTAGCGCCGCACAAGATCCGTAACAATCCTCGGAGCCTGGGATGCCCTCAAAACTTGACCGAAACGATGCACCCAAAAGAATGGGTTGTCCATGGTTGTCCCATGTCAAGTTTGCTGAACTCAGTCTTCAATTTTGTGTATATTAATTTAAGTCCAGGCTGTATGAATGAAGATCACAACTGGAGCTGGCAAAAGGACCATACGATATCCTATTCCCTTTTTTGTGCCCTTCTCCAAGCCAAAAGGGTTGCTAAACAGTCGTATGAGGTCGCCAGTTCGTTGGCCGTTCGGTGGGGCAAGGGTTGCAGCTCCTCCAAGAAACCTGCTTGTCCCCAAAGAAATTGACATATGCTTCCTTAAGTGCCTGACAACGGAGG